TGCACAAGCCCATTTCTCCTCGTGCATACTCTGTTTAAAAGTTGCTGTTTGCATACAAGCTTACTTTGCAAAAGAAGCTTTAAAATATTTTCTCTATGTCAGACTCACCACCGGTAAGTGAAAATGGGGACGAGCGCATACTGTAGGACAGCCTTACGTAAACATATCACCTGTCAACATATATTGACTGTCTAAAAAGGAAATTGATGAAATTTTATTTGAAAACAAATATTGGAAAGAGTAATAGAATCAATGGCATAATGAATCATTTTAAAATTAAAAGAAAGTCCTTTGCAACATGATTTGAATCTAGTCTTTCAGGATGTGATATCAAAACCTTTGTAGAAACAGTCTAATTTTTGTACCAATAACTGCAAGTCATCAATAGACAGCCATTCATCTCTTAATATGTTAATTACTTTTTCTAGGGTTTCTTTATTAAACAGGGAAATATGAATTTTAATAGTATTTGTTGTGAGACAGATTACATTGCTGCATTCTTCAGCCACCAAAAGCAGTAACGATAAAAGAACATTGTTTTTGTTTTTCCTGCAGGTACGTTTGGATCACATCCCAGCTACCTACTATGTGAACCTCCTCGTTTCTAATCTAATCAAGATCTTCACTCTGATGCCTTTTTGGAGAATTCCACCATATTTCTCCTATGGTACAATAATTGTTTGTATCCTGAGTAGAACGCCAAGTTTTTTCTTTAAGATGATTATTGCTCTGGAAAGGTATGAACACTTATATCAGGTTGGTTTATCTTAAACAAATATTATACAATATATACAGTAAAGAATAAAATATAAACAGTCATTGTTAAACATTAGCTGATGATGTTTTCCTTTCTCTTCTGTTGTAGGTTCCTTTTCATATCCCAGCAAGAGTTTCATTTCATGAGAAAAGCTAAAGGATTTGTGACTGTTAGTCTTTTTGCCTGGATTTTTTCAGTTGTCCTTATCGTGCTGGTTATATATTTGGAAAGTCCTGATCATGGACCTGATCATAGTCTAACGTTCATGCCCCTGATCATCTTTTTGTTACTTTCTGTCCTTGTGTTCCTCATCTGTTTTGCTGTAACTCTTAAGTTGCTCCGTCAGAACACTTCAATGTCTGCCAAATCAAAATGCAGAAATTTGGGAATTTTACTTCTATTGTTTGTTAATTACATTGGGATACATTTCCCCACTGGTGTTTATTTACTTATTAACCCAATGAAACTGGAAAGAAGGTTTTCAATAAGTAAAGAAATTATTTTCATTTTGGATCCTCACAGTCCTTTGATTGACTTGTTTCTGTTTGTTTTTATGGTCAAATGTCCTTTAACAAAGCTACTAATGTCTCTCTGCTGCTGCAAGAAGGACAAGCCTGCAGTAACTGATGATAGCAGCTCATTATTGTGATTAATGCAAAACCAACTGAGCTCTTTTTGATTAATAGACAGAAGAGAATAAAAAAAGATGTATATCTCTCCCACCAGCATAATAAAAAGATAAAGGGAAATGAAAGCTTTTTAGATTTTTGTTTTTACTGAATTCATTGCTTAGAAATATACTTTTTTAGCAGTTTGTTATTAAATGTATGTAATCTAAATCTGTCTGAATTTAAACTAGGATTTGTTTATGAAGCTTCTTAACTTGTTTGAAATATTCTATATCTACATTTTTTCACCTTTTGTTTAGTGTTTTAAATAAAGTTACCTTCTTGTGCTTTCAGAAAATTAAAGAGCAGTCATTAAAGCTATCTTTAGCCTATAAATCATGACTGCATCACAGAGCTTAATAATCTAACTGAAAGCTTTACATTAAAACTGGTTACAGCCTTTTTTAATAGAAAGAAAGAAAGAAAGAAAGAAAGAAAGAAAGAAAGAAAGAAAGAAAGAAAGAAAGAAAGAAAGAAAGAAAGAAAGAAAGAAAGAAAGAAAGAAAATTTAATTTATTGATCTCACAAAGGAGAAATTAACTCTCTGCATTTAACCCATCCCCTTGGGGAGCATGGGGCTCCTATTGTGTGGCATCTGGGGAGCAGTGTTGGGTTAAAGGTCTTGCTCAGAGAGTTAGAGAGGAGGCTGTGAGGATCGAACCAGGTCCTTGCAACCTTCTCAAAGCACAAGCACACTGCTCTAACCCACTAGGTGAACACTCCCTCTCAAAATTAATGCATTTAATTTCAGCCAAATCTAATCAGATCTTAAGTGGATTGAAAACCTGAATGATCAGAAAACAGAAAGAGCTGATGCAGGCTGCTTCAGGCAGGAAAGGATATGCACGTAATGTGCAAAAGCTGCCTCTGCTTTGAGTTTGGCTTGGAACTACAACACTTTTCTCACCACTCCTCTCCCTATTGAAGGGTGCCAAAGGGCAGGCTTGGGGTAGTTAGCATTTTATTTGGCCAGCTTTTTCTTATATGAATGCAGCCTTAGGTGAATACATTCATTGATTGGAATGTGCCAGTAAAAAGGTCACCATCAATTTAAGAAGGTCTAAATGCAAGTGTGACAGGCCATAATCTGGAGGCTGTATCATGAAAATGTACTTTTTTTCTCAGTCCTTGAAATGCAATATAAATCTACAAGCAAGGTCTCTGATCACAGCAAGTTGGTACATTATGACTCTTGTAATCCGTGTATTTTAGCAATACTGTTACTAGCCCACAAATGTGCAGCACACTATAGAGTACAACCTTGATGTAATTTAATTCAATTCAGTTTATTTATATAGAGCCAATTCACAACACATGTAATCTATTTGCAGTTCACCAGATCATACAGTCAAATTGATTACAATTCTTCTATCTAAGGTAAACCAGTTGATTGCATCAACTCATTGACTCGAAGGCAATTCCTCACACTAAGCATGCCTGTAGTGACAGTGGAGAGGAATACTTCCCTTTTAACAGAAAGAAACCTCCAGCAGAACCAGGTTCACTGTGATTAGCCATCTGCTAAGACCGACTGGGGTTCAAGGAGACAGAAGCAGAGATACAGAAGGCAAAAGGTGGCCCCATCCAGGAAACACACAGCCAGGCAGACGAGCTCCGTGCCAGCTCCCACGCCAGAGGATTTAGAGAACACACCTAGTTAGTCACAGTCAGAGAAACAGGACTACACTGGCAAACAGGCTGATTTCCAACATCTACAGACAGAGGTGTTGATGGCAGCAGCACAGCTGATTTTTCTCTCCCGGATGGAGTCACAGCCAAACAGGAACAGACCAGATGAAGCTACTATGAGAAAAAGCAGAGAGAGCAGAATATTAGAGATTGAATTAACAGATTCTGCAGAGTGGGAGAATAGAGATAGAATGAAGCAGAATGATGAAAAAGGGGTCCCTATGTCCTCCAGCAGTCTAAGCCTATGGCAGCATAACTATAGAGATAGCTCAGGATAACCTGAGCCACTCAAACTATAGGGTTAACAACATTGTTGTAAACATTGTTTTGACATGTAAATGTGAAATTTACATGTTTGCTTGTGGATATCATTTACAATACTGTATCATCACAAACAGCCCCCCTCTGCATCCTCGCGCATCTCTTCCTTTGGCAGGTAAGTTTCAGTGTTGTTTTGTTTACATCCATTCGTATCACTCTGCAGCTTTTTAAACAGACAAAAATGTCTGGATGTAAAACATTATGTGACCGTAGCTCCATCAGGAGTTTTCGATCATAGATGCGGGTCAGATGTCTAGTCTGTATTGTATTAACCAGCATACTATGTGACATTTAAATTGTTGAGAGGAGCTGTTACTGCCTCCTTCAGATCATAGAAACATATATCAAGAATTTATTTTCAAAACCTAATTATTCATCAGTGGTATGAACATATTTTTGGAATCGATGTACTGTAAATTCTTTTTTTCTAAAACTTTAAACAGCACCCTTGCTATTGCAATGGGCCTATCGTTTTTAAATACTGTATATCTTTTCTGTTTTTTAATTAACTGGTACCGGTAAAGGTGACAGCATATAGTTGGATTAATTCCATAAAAGCAGAAGGACGGTAAAACAGAAACTGTTAGAAGGCAGCAAGCAGATGTAACAGAAACTATTAAGAACTATTATTATGTTAAAAATAATAATATTAATCTTGCCAAACAATTAAAAAAAATATATATAAAACATTTATTTTCAACATGGATCGGACTATCTACTCCTTTGAGGAGTGGTATTTATCACTTTAAAGCACTTTTGGACTCCTGTCCATTTTTTCTAGCCCCACTGAGTAGAGACGTATTAAAAAAACAAAAAAAACAACAACATTGAGTTAAGCCGGACTGTTCACAGCCGCCTTTAGGCACAACCTTGGGCTTTAAAGGAATAAGTGGCACCATATTTGGCACCACTCCAGTAGTTATAGTATTAAACAAAAAAGGCAGAATGTTTTGTGGTTAAAGATCAGTCCAGAATGCTAAAAGCTGATGGGGAAAATCTCAAAAATAGAACGTGATGTAAAAATGTGGAGATGCAGGCAAGGGACACTGACATCTATAAACAACAAGGCTCTCAATAATCTGGCTTGTCATGAAAGTCAAGAATATAAATGTAGGTAAAGAGCTGAGCTAAATGAAGCTGATCGCACATCTGGCAAATTACTGAGTGCAGCAGCAGACAACACAACAGATGTCAATAAAAAGCATGAATTTTAAATATTCCGAGATTAATTAAATTTTCTCATCATAGTTTGTGAAATGAAAAAGTACAGACTACTTAGTACCGTTGGTCTGTTTTTCAGACTTTAACATCAAAGTTTATTTGATCATGTTTAGTGATGTATCAATAAGCCCAGAATAAAACTAAATCAACCAAACCATGACTTCTGTAGCTTTAATTATATATAATAAAGCATAATGTAATAATAAAGATGCATCAGAAATTTGCAAACAGAATCTAAGTTTGCAAGTAGAATTGTTTTCTCACCTTTTTTTTTTTTTTTGCATGTTGGTGTTTAACTTAACTTCCTGCCACCCACCTCACCGCACCGATTTAGAGATAAAGTTATTTTTGCAGAGCAGACTGAATTCATGCGAACACGTTTGACCTCAGAAAAGTTTGTTCCTAACACGTAGCTGGTCTTAATTTCTCCTTAAGGTGAGTATGAAATTATTAAGACATATATTAGTTTAGCCTATTTAGTAATTTTTTCATGTCCTCATTTGCCAATATAGCTCTGGGAATTGATGTCCCAGATCTAGATAATAGCCCATAATGGTTGATGCCATAAGCGTTTGCCTGGTACTTGTAAACTTTGTTGAAAATAATTTAGGGAGCAAAATTGTATACAACAGGCAGTGAAACAGAACGGGAGATAAGAAAGAAAGAGGGGACAAGAACTAATGGCATAGAGAAACACATAGAGACAGGAAAAAGCACATGAAAAGAGAAAATAGAATAAAAATAAACAACAGAAGATATAGAGTAACTCCTAGAATTCTGCTTCCACTTCAGAAGAGATGCAAAAAAACAGAGAACATACCAGCAGCAAAAAGAAGACAACAGACAGCCAAAGTAAATGTATAAAGAAAACGTGGAGAGCAGCAGGTATCACTTAGATATCCATGTTTTTAAGATAAAACTTATGTTGATTCCACAATCTTAATCAGGGTGGTATCTGTAGCTGCTGCTTAGTATTTAGTATTAGTGTGTATCTGTGAATACCTAGAACCAAACTTGCGTGGTATGTATGCATTACTCTGTCATTTCTAAAAATGTTTTTTTTTTGTGTGTGTCACATTAAATTTTTCACTAAAAGTTACTCGAGAACTAAAGGTCTGACGGTGAAAAACATTTGGAGTAACAGAGCTGGAAGTTAAATTGTTCTGAATTTTATGCTGCAGCATCATATCCAAGTCTTAAAATTTTGACAGAAGAGATTAAAGAACATTTTAAAATTTCCGTTATTTTTACATAAACCACAGGTCACTGTAACCAAATGTTACGGTCTGAAAAATTATGATTGTAACATATGTAGAAAAAATCGAAATATTGTTTTCTTTTCATAACATTTTGTTTTTTTTTGTTTTGTTTTCTCTTTCTAACAGGAACACTTTTAAAGGAAATATCACAAAACAGAACATGAAATCAGCATCTGTCCTTGGGATGATGTGGGTCAACATCCGTGTTTGTCTCCCCTTCACATTAATGGTCATCGCTTTGAGTGGTGCAGTATGTTGATAGCATCATAATTTCATATTTGTGTTTTGTTAAGTAGAAAAATAAATATTAACAATGTAATCAGTAGGGATAGCATGAGTAGCAGGGATAAAAAATTGGATGAGTAAATTTTCTATCAGTTTCATATTCATTTTATTTTGTTGATCTCTGTTGCTGATTTTGTTTAACTGACCACTGCAGGCTTCTATCAGGAAGCCGTGAAAGTGAACAGTGATTCTGTTACAAACCAGAGCAGTTTCTGAACCTCTACATAAAGGATATGAAGAACTGATCCATATATATATATATATATATATATATATATATATATATATATATATATATATATATATATATATATATATATATATATATATATATATATATATATATATATATATATATAGAGAGAGAGAGAGAGAGAGAGAGAGAGAGAGAATTATGAGTCTCTCAAACCTCATAAAGGCTTTCTGAATTGGAACAATATTGCATGCAAAGTGGGAATGATCTGCCTGACAGCCACACAAATTACTCAGTCAAAGCTTGAATACAAATCAATATCTGCTTGAAAACTTTTACTTTTGTAGTTACGATATTTTATTTTAGTTCGATCTAGTGATTTATGCACTTCATGATCACCAAGATAATAATAAACACCTCTCTTCTATAATAATAAATAGCGTGAAGTCATGGAATGATTATTTTCCTCCCTCTGTTGAAGTACTTAGATCTTATATAAGGTCTTATTTATTTTTGCCTCACTGTATAATTGAAACATTAATGCCTCTAAACGGATGTTTCCTGCAGGTGCGATTAGATGGTGCTCCCGTCACCTACTACATGAACCTTCTGCTTTCAAACCTTGTCCAGCTGGGTGCTATGGTTGCCTTAATGACGAAGATAAATGAGTATCAATCCAATACAGAATTTCCTATTGTTTTCGGCTGTGGTGCATTAGCCAGTCTTTGCTTCAGAACAATCATTGCTCTTGAGAGGTAAAAAACATAACTTTCAGTGTTTTGCATTGACATGTTCAGGGTCAATAATACTGACTGTTCCTCTTTTGTTTCAGATATTTTCTTATCTCCTGGCCACAGCTTCACTTCATCAGACAAACAAAAGTTTCTGTCCTGTTCTGTCTTTTGATCTGGGTTTTTTGTGTAGTTATTTTTCCTGTTTTTATACATCTTGGACTATTTTTATTATTCTGTATTTTCCCCTTTATTCCTGCTCCAGTGTTCATCCTCTGCCTCACTCTCACCATCAAAAACCTGCGCAAAGCCACCTCCGTCTCTGCCAGAGAAAAAAAAAGAATTATTGGAAGTTTACTTCTGTTGTTCTGTGTTTACTCTTTAATGGTTCTTCCTCTAATTTATTATTTGTTCGGGTTTCGTCTCAAACAAAAAATCTCCTTGTGCTTTTTTCTGTTAAGTCCTTTCATGGACTTAATTCTGTTTCTCTTTATGTATAAAAACTTGACAAGCTGCTGCAGTGTTTCTGCAGCTGCAGAACGGGAGTCACTGAAGGAAAGAGAAACAGTAGGGAATGAAAACTTATTGTAAAGATATAATGAATAAAAATATATAACACAAATATATCTATCTTTAAAGGAAGGATGTGTAAACTTTAAAACAAAACTGTATATATGTACATATATAAAGTTGTTTGCCTTTAAGTGGTTGCCCAACTGATGTTTTTAATGTTTTTTTCAATGTATATGATAAATTAATAGAAATTTAGGAATATTATAAGTTTGTTGCAACATTTAAACCAGCCAATAACATCATACACCATTAGGGTCCAGTTCCAATTGAAAGAAGTGCTTCCAAAGGTTCTTAGGCTCATGTCGAATATTTTAATACTTTTGGCTATAAACCTTTATCACAATACTGCAGATTTGTTTTAAACCTGTATTAATTTTTTCTTAACTGCATTTATCCATTATGTGTATGAGCAGAACTATGTGCACTGTAAAAGAAGTTTGGTCTATAATTGCTCTTTAGAAATGCTACAACTTTTATTTTTGACATAATTCTTCCCAACCCGTTTTAACCTGTATACCCTTTAGTTACCTAAAATTACATAAGTCAAACATATAAGTGTGTACTACAAAAAATAGAAAGAGCTTAGAAGTTAATTGTCTTGCTGCCCAAAGCAGATATGTTGACAGCTTAGAATAACTGTTATGAATTTGTTTAAAAGAAATTTAACTCATTTTTTACAATAAAGCAGATCAATTTCTTCTATAATTGCCTGTAGAACGAAGGTCAACAAGATTTTGAAGTCTGGTTTATATTTAAATATATATATTTATTTTACTTTTGAAAAATTCAATAGAACCAAAGACAAAATACAAAAGATTGTTCTTTTTTTAGCACCAATGTCAACAGTTGTTCTACCAGACATGCAGCTGATAGAAGTTTTCAAATTTGTTTTCCCATTCTGATATAAACAAGTGGTATAGCATAACAAAGCGTATAACATTCATCTTTAGATTTTATTTTATGACCCTTGGCCTTTATTAAATGTATAAATAAGAGTAGAATACCTTGCTGAGACTGGATCAGTGCGCACAGTTCGAAGCAGATTACTAACAAAACTATGATTTTTTTAAAATTTGAACGCTGATTTTCTTTTATTACAATGCCTAAGGCCAAAAATAAAAATACAGCTAAGATAAGGCAGTGGGGCTTATTTTTGCTTAAAAAGCAGTGGTTTCACTATTTTTTTTACAGATTTTTATGTTTTATGTTTTGTTTTTTTTTGGTTTATAAAAGTTACATTTTGTTATATACATCGATGCTGAAATAAAGGGGGAAAAAAACTTGCTTCGTCAATGTTTTTTGGCCATCAAAATGCTTTACTGTTATTTTATGGGTCAAATATTTGATTAAAATCATTTTGCACAATCTGGCACATAAGGAGAGGTTTGGAGACGCTGACATCAAAAGTTCAAAGCCCCTCACCTCTGGAACTGTTGCAGCTAGAGGTCTGACATTTTCTGCATTTGTGGTTGACATGGTGTAGAATAAACGTCATATACTGAGACATGCCTATTCTCAAGCATGTCTTTATTACTGTTGTTCAAAAAGACCTATTATTTTGGAGAATAAAAAAAGAACTTTGAGTCATGTTTGAACTGATGCAGTTTGCCTGTGTCTTACTCACACTATATTCATTTATATTTTCAGAATCTAGAAGGTTTTCAAATGATTTATCACACATGTAATTTGGGTTTACACTTCCTCAGTTATTTCTTTTCCATTTGGGTATGCAAAAAAGGGTGGGTGTTAAAAGGTTAATACATTTTGTTTTGCTGGTATATTTGTGTTTTACGTACTTTGCATGTGATGATAGCAGGAAAATTAACTGTAGTATATATTTGTATGTGTGTGTGTGCCTGTTTTAGAAGAAAACTGAGGACAAGATTCAGTTTCTAACCTTTGGAGTTAGGACATTTTTTTTTACAAAGTGAGGATGTTTTGGTCAGCCGCCACAAGCTCTTTTTCTAGGTTAGGTTTAGGCCTAAGGTGTTAATTGGGTTAGGGTGAGGTATATACACTGGTAATGGTTATCTTTAGGGTTTTTTTATAGGGTAAGGCTTTAGAAAGGGTTAAAAATGACCATAAATCAATGGAAGTCAACTGGGGTCCACACATTGTCCTCACTATTATATAGCAAGACATGAGAGTGTTGCCTCTCACCACTGATCTAAAGAAAATGAGCTGTAACAAAATGTAAGAATAAGGAAACTGTTTAATTTGTTCAATAAATTTTGGATATTATAAATGACCTGATTCTGATGTTACACTAGTCTGTTAAAATGTGTTGTAGATGATAAATTAAAAAAAAAAAAAAAAAATCCTAATAAATTAAAATTGATCTTCTGCTCTTGAATCTTTCTGTCATTTTGTTTGGTATGTGTGTGTTCCTGTATTGGTTACCTGGTGGAAACAATTTTCCAGAAATATGGTACATTTTTGGTACTTAAAGGTATTTGTGGGAACAAACATCTGGCCCCCATTAGAGGAGAAGTTCTGTTATTGGGTTAGGTTTAGGGCCAAAGTGTGAAATGTAGCTTAAGAAACAATTCAATCTGGAAGACTCTTATCATCTGGGGCATCAGCTGTTGTCCCACACTTCCTCCGAAGCCAATCATCTTTAAAGATTCCCCTCATTTGGCTTCTGGCCTTGCTTCTACCCTTCACACCAGTGGACGCTCACCCACCTCCATCCCATCTCCTCCCTCACTGTCAGGGAATCCTCAGTCCCACTTTTCTTCCTAATTCCACCACCAGGGTTCCGGGCCCCATTGGGAAGACTACTTTAATCTTTTCCTAAGTTACTCATCCAAGCAAATGTTGATTCAAAGCATCAAAGTCTTCTGCCTGGGCCCCAGCGCCAAAGAATATATTTTATTAAAACCTTTCTAATTGCTGCTTTCCTCAGAGTCATTCTCTCCAAGATGAATTTGGTTTAGGTTATGTTTAGGTATGTGTTGGTCAACTGTAATTACTTCAACAGCCTCTGCTCAACCAATAAAACTAATTAGGTAGGGGAGCGCATGTGCAGTTGGTCAAAGGAATTGGGTGGAAAAAAAGGTCATTTAATGACTTAAATTAAATTCAAAGATTTTATATGAAGTCATAAAAGGTGAGGAATAGAGTGCAGTGAAGACCTAACTGGAGAAACATCCTCCATCGTCTGTAAAACGCTACATTGCCAAAGGTAAAGGGCATCTGGGTTTAGCACACACGTAGTTAGCAAATATTTTTTTAAATATTTTTTCTTTGGTTTCGTGAAAGCTTTAATTTGTACACATGCAGATTTTCTCAGCAAGTTTCCTGATGTATTTTGATCATATCTGAGCTTCCTGCCACTCATCTCACCACAGTGAAGCTCAAAGTTAGAGAAGAAAAACCACTTGGAAAAAAAAATCTTGTGGTCAAACATACAGCTGTGAAAATGTAAGTATGAATATCATTTGACTGCAGGTGCTGTCAGAGGATTAAGTTTTTAAACATATCTAGAATACTTTTATAATAATCCCACCATCACATCACTATTGCAAAGCTGCTGATTTTAGCTGCTGGATTGCTCAGCTGAAAAACATCCTCAGCAACAGAGTGGTGAGTAAAATATTCATTATTATCAGAAATAAGATATTGAGGTTCATCATTTGAGTTCAAGTTTTATCAGAATGGTAGAAATTATACTTCAGTTTGAACAAAATTCTGCTGAAACATTAAAATTATGATTTTCCCACAGATAATTCTAGTAAATAATTATGGGTCTTTCCTAGTATTCAGTGCCTTTTAAGTGTTTTGTGCCATAATGGGCTATATTATTTTACAATATGGACTAATATAAATACATATTTAATTATTATGTTTGAATACGCCCTAATATAAATATGAATGTATTAACATAAATAACTGTATTTTAAAATGATTAAATCTAATTTAATTTAAACTTGGTTTAATCGCCTTGTCCCGTTTTCATTTTCTCCAAAACCAGTAATAGAATTTTATAAATAGTTAAGTTGGTAGTAGTGTACTTCCAATGTTTTCTTTCCATATCAAAATGTTTTTTAATCCGAAATTTTTAAATTGAAATTACTTTCCATGGGTCAACTTTCCACCCTGTTACCCTAAAATACCCAGCTGCCCCTTCCCTCAAACCACCTCTATTCTCACATGTCTTATAAGAAAAACTTTGTCAGTTTTTTAGGAGGGAAAACTTCAAAGAAGCAGGATGAATATTTTTTTTTTTCCTGTTTTATGACGGTTCATTGATGTGGTAAAGCATAACATGTCCCTTGTTTGCATTGAAAATAGATTTTTTTCTTTTTGTTTTTCGAATTAAAAGTTACTACGTGTAAATACAAGTAAACTCCTCAGTGGTGATCAAGCACTAGCTTGTTTTTAATGACAGGATTAGTCATTTCTGATTTTAGTGGTAATTGTCCCTCTTGTTACGTTCACTGTGTTTTAGTTTTTTGTGTCAGAAAAGTTTGGACTTCCAAAGATTCTAGATTCTTATTTAAGACGAGTTCATTATATAATAAATATTAATCTAATGGTCAGGGAATGCTGTGTCTCCTGGAGAAAACAGAAGTGCTACAGGTCTCATTGTGATGCAGACCCTTAAATAACGACTAAATACCTATTAGGATTTGATAAAATGCAGGGCAGTGTGACATCCTCTGCATTAGCAATATAATTATCTTAGTTTAACAAGTCTTTATTAAATAAAATATTAGAAAAAATAAAATGCATGCGGTGTTACTATAGTCAAATGGCATTGAATAGTGAGAATCTTATAAGAAGGAAAAAAAAACCTTAAAACTATATTTCTAATTAATTTTTTTTTTCAAAGTGTAATTTTGATTCTTTTTTATCTTATTAACATCTGATGAGGATTTGTTTTTTTTAGTAGAGTTAAAAAAAAACCCAAAAAAACCCGAATTGTCTATTTCACAGGTCAGAAAAGGTGATTTTTTTCAGGAGCTCTATTATTTAAATATTAACATTTATTGATCATTTCAAAAGAGAATGTAAATTCTGATGTGAAATGTACAATATTTAAAAAAAAATTTTTTTTCTCCAGAGTAAATCAAAACAATGTTTGAAGATTATCTTAACGTGATGATTTGGATGGACATCCGTGTCTGTTTTCCCTTCACTTTGCTGGCCGTCGGTTTGTGTTTTATGGTGAGTAATCTAGAAAGTAGTGTAATATTTTAATTGTTGTTCAAACTGTTTGTGTGTATTCCCAGGCACAGGATTTCTCACTCAATAAATAAACACTTTTTTTCTAGACTGTCTATTTATTGAATGTGAGGAAAAGAAAATCTTCAATTTCCTCCTTAATCATACAAACAGAAATATAAATTTTAAATGCCCAGAAATATATATGTTACCAAGCTTTTGTGGCTTCTAATGTAGAATATGTTTAATTACCATTTTTAAAAAGGGGACAAATTAATCTCTGTTAGAAATGTCATCATAATCTTAGTTTTGTTAAAGATGAAACTTTAATAACAGTGACAGAACAAATACAATTGATTTATTGTTAATGCTATTTCCTTAGTATCTAATAATCAATCCTGATATTTGATCTTTTTTGTTTTCAGATTTCCATCTCTGCCTTTTCAGGGTTAATGCCGGGGCCACTAGATTAAAAGGAAAACGTTTTAAGACATTAATAAATGAAGTTTGAGTCCTATATCCCAATATCCAAAATCATAAAAAACAGTAACTGTCTTAAAGCTATTTCGAAAATAGTTAAAAATATTTAAATTGACTAATTGACAAAATAATGACAAAATAATAACTCTTACTTGAGGAATATCATTAAGATGTATTGCAATTATTTCCTATTTTTATGGAAACGTTATCAATAACAAATGACATCACAAAATAATGAATAGGTTTATTTTAGCCAAATAATACACAAGAGAAAGACAGTGTTAAAGTGATCATTCTTGTTGATGCACAACTTTTGGTTATTTTAATTATGCTTCCTATTTATTGCGCCCATTGGGGCATTTGGTTGTTGTTTTTAAATATTAAGTTAGACTTTATTATCAATAATGAGCTTTTTAAAAACGACCTATATTAGGGCTGGGTATTGTTCAAAAATGTTCGGTTCCGGTACCAATACCGATACCTTCACTTCGATACCGGTTCCTGAATGATACTTTTTCCATACCAGTTTTATAAAAGCAATTCGAAGAAAAAGAAAATTACACAACATAAAAAAGTACAAATCTTGAGTTTTATTTTAAGCTCTGATTTTTCCATTTACATTTTTCCTCTTACAAAAAAAAAAATCAATGTTCAATATTCACTGTTACATTGTGAGGACCTTTTTACTTAGCAGATTTCCTTTAGAAAAATTACCATGTCTGACAAACAAGCCCGTTGAATGGGATCCTATTGACAGCGCACCCATGGGCGTAGGTTTGCATAGGGACCACAGGGACATGTCCCTACCAAAATTTTGAACCAACCTAAATGTCCCTACCAATAATTGGATGTGAGCAACATGTTTATAATTTACAGCAGTAGTTGTTGCAGCAGAGGCTTCTTTTTCTCTCACAGCTCCTCTGCCTGGTCTCTCCTGTCCCTTTCATGTAGCAGCGCATGGAACTGTGCTGCGCTGTTTAACTCAACTCTCATTGGTTGGTCTGCCTTAAGTTCCGCCTTCTCTCTCTCTGATTGGCTGTTTTCTAGTCAGCCTGTGCTTGGAGCACAACATTGAAAATTTATTCACACTAGAATGCTGCGGTTACTACAATTAATATTAGGCTACAAAACTAGTCCCAATAAAAAAAATGAATATCATGTACACTAAAAAACAAAAACCTTTTTTTTTTCCTTTTATAAAACGAAATATTCTGAGTCAGCCAGGAGTTCTGAAGACTGCTGGGAAAATGGGCAAATAAAGGCTGTAAGCATCAACATTTCTGATTCTTAGCCACAGCCACCTAAAAAAGAAAATGTGAGGGTTTCTTTTTTACCGATATTTAGTTAATATTACTGTTTTCATTTTTTTGTTTTTATTTTTACAATTTTGATATAATAACTGATCTAAGTGGGTTGCTCTGTGGGGAAAGGCACATTTTACATTTATATTACTGTATGTTTTAAAGTCTCTATTCTCCAGTTAATGATGAATCACTTACTAAATTAGTTGACAGTTTTTGAAATAATTAATTAATATGATTCATTTTTTTCAGTCCCAGATGAAATACATGAAATGTGCGACACAGAGTAACTACAGCCCAGACGTTCAACTTTTATAGTGAAGTTAATATTTTAATGAATGTATTATTTTGCTTGATACAGAGAGAGAATGGTAGGTACAAATATTAGAGTGGGGTTTAACTGTGCACTATTCTGTATCTTCAAAAGAAAATACTGTATTTACCTTCTCTCTTAGTCGTTCAAATGAAACCATTTTCAAAGTGGAAAACAGTCCTAATTCCACATTCATCAGAGCCGGTGATACTTCAAACATTGATAAACAGCATCTAATGAGTGTAGAGCTTATAACATTGTTATTAATGGAGCAAAATGTTTTTCTCTTTTAACAATGAATTCCTCTTATCAGTACGGATGCTCACATTGAGCATAAAAAAGGACATGCATATTGCATAGCACCAATGACACCAGGCCAATAGTGTCCCTACCAAAGTTCAAATCAAACCTACGCCCTTGAGCGCACCGCTGGTATGTGGGGGTCTGAGCCGCTCCGACAGAAATATTGGAAGGCAGAATGAACTGACTGCACTGATTAAGTTTTCAGGTGGATTTTCCCAATTAAAAACATAATAAAACTACTTTATTCCCACTGATCACAGCAAATATAGCTGCAAGGCAAAGAAAGGATAGAGTAGCTCCACCCAACGCGCGTCAGAGCCACTTTTCGACCGCGCAGCCAGAGCAGCAAAGCTTCTTCAGCCGCGCGTCAGAAGCTGGTACAAGCAGCAAAAAAGGAAGCAGCAGACGCGATTTTGCAGCTCCTGCTGCATCCAGTTTGAAAGCAGCATGATTCACTGCGCTCTGGCTTTGCTCTGCCCACGGGCTGCTGAGAGGAGAATGGTGGCGCCGGCTGCGGTCCGCTCTTCTTGCAGTCAAACACCGAGCAACTTTCTGCTCTTAAATGGTTTCCGTGCACAATGTATTGCATTGCGCACTATTGGCATCAGTCTTAATAAAGTGAAGCCGCACTTTTGACCTGGAGGGCATTTTAAAGGGGTTCCATGACGCTCGCAACCAGTTCACAACAGATACACATGAACCCTGGCTGTAGGCGTGACCACCTGTGTATTTTTCCTGGATGATGCAATCACATTAAGTGTTACAGCCAATCACCGAAACTTGGTACCGAAGGATGAGGCATGTTCGATACTCTGTAGAACCGAAGCATTTCGGTCCGTACCATAAAAGAACCGAAGTTCGGTACCCAGCCCTAACCTATATGCATATTAGGGTCAGAAGTTTTTTGAAACAAACATTCACCTAGTCTAAAATGTTTCTTTTAGATGTTATTCGATGGTATCTGGAGTGAACCCCCCTCTCTTTCCAGCCCAGAAATATGACAGTCAAATGTGGTCTGTTGTTGGTAGTTTGAATAAGAGTTTAAATGAACTGGAGCACAAATGGTCTATTCTCTCCTTATAAGGTCTGCTCGTCTAAAATGAGATACCTATGCAGTTTTTAACTACTCAATAAATTGATTATTGTTTGGAGTAAAACTAACAGCCTCCTACCTCCATATTTACCGTGTTCTAGTTAGAAAAAAGAAATACTCTGGTCTGATTGAATGAAACCCAGCACTAATAAATCAATATATGTAAAAGGGAATTAACAGGAAAGTGATTTTTCTTTCTCACCACAATTCTTAATAATGTTGTTTGGTGGAAAAAGCTTAAAACTTAAAAAAAAAATCATAGAATATTTGTAAATATTTTAGCTTTTATTTGACATTCATCAACTCTTGTCGTTCAATTAATGCGACTAATCTCTTTTGAAAGTATTATGCACTGATTGGAGAGTTTTACAAAAATATTTGCATGATGGCTAATTTTTCATTAATAACCAATAATTGAATTCTCCCCCTGATGCAAATTTTCTACAAATTGTGTTTTAAACAGCAATAATGTGAGTTTTGTTGACTGTTTCTTGCAGGTATATTTGGACCAGCATCCAGTTGCCTACTATGTGAACCTGCTTATTGCTAATCTAATCCAACTCATCACTCTGATTTTTATTGCAACTAATAACCTAAAAGATTTAGATGACATAAATTCCACATGTGTTATTATCTACGGTGCTAATGCAATGGCTAGTCTCTACTTCAGAGTGATTATTGCTCTGGAAAGGTAAGAACACATCTTTCTGCAAAATTAAAATCCGAAACTGTGTAATCCTGTTATTGTGGAGTACCAGATTCTGGGCATGGTTATTCACTGGGTTCCTCTTTTTGTTTTGTAGGTGTTTCTTCATTATCTGGCCAAAGCTGCAGTTCATCAGACAAACAAAGACATCTGCGATTATCTGTATTTTGGTCTGGATCCTCTGCATTGTGCTTTTCCCTCTTTTGATATTTTTTTATCAGAGATTGATCTTCTTTGTTTTTGCTCTGATTCCTTCACCCATGTTCATCATCTGTCCACTTGGAACCTTCTTTTCTCTGCCAAGAGCTACCTCAGTATCTCCTGAGGGAAGACGTAGAATTGTGGGGACTATGTTTCTGTTGATAGTTAACTACACCCTAACAATTGTTCCACCAACTATTGGCTTTATTTCTTATATACCTTCTGATCGATATTATGAACAACAGGTTTTAGTGACCTTGTTTCTTCTCAGTCCTTTCATTGATCTATTTCTGTTTGTTTTCATGCGCAAAGGACCTATTGACGACTTTCTATCATGTCTCTGCTGCTGTAAGATGGAAACCTCTGCAGTAGATGACAGCAGTTTATCTGCTTGAGTTTGGCTCAGATAGTTAATAGAAGAAATTAACACTGTCTAAGAACAAATCCAATGGGACTTTAACCCCTTTATGCCTGAATATACAAAAATATATACAAATGTTTTTGTGACTTACCATTGGCTGTTGTTTCAAGCCTGGAAATATCTCTAATTTTTTGTAACATTTATTTGCTGAGTTGGAAAATTAGGTTAATTTCCCCAGATGGACAGACTTAAACCTATAATACGGCGGTTCATATGGGGTGCCGTTTGTAAAGTTAAGCTGTCAAAAATGAGAAGCAATACGTATGGTTATTTAGTGTGTTTTAATAAAAATAATGTTTTTTTTCCGAAGTAAATTTTTCAATATGTCATTGAGTTATTTATAAAAATCTAAGTTTGAAATTAAATATTTAGGTTGTCATTTATAAAACTGTCAGCAAGCTAAGTATTTATTTACCAAACTAAATATTCTTCCTGCGATGGACTGGCAGACCATCCACGGCGCTAGCTTCATATTTTTTAACTGCAAACTGTCATGATTGTGCACTTTTTAGCTCTGTTTAAATTTTCTTTTTGAGATTTCAGTTATACTTTGATTAATGTCTTTATGGGTTTTTTTTGTTCATTGTATTCAATTTAATTTTGTGTCATTCTAGCTGTTTTTCTGATTGTATTTGAGTTCTTATGTATTTCTTTTTTACTCTCTGTTACCCTATTGTGTCAGTCTATTTTCCCTTAGCTCCTTTCGAGTTCCCTCTGTCCATACCTGCTCCCAATCAGTTGATTACTCCATTCTTTGTTCTGCTTGGTATTTTTACTCCTCTTCTGCAGTTACTGAGGGCTGAATTATCTTCATTCCCTCCTCATGTGTTCTCCTTTGTTATCATTCCTTTATCCCTTATTCGGTTATTTTTGGATTTATGCTTCAATTGCCACCGTTGGTAATTAAATCTGCAAGAAACCATCTCAGCTTCCTTCTCTGCATTTGGATCCTCTAAAAACCTCCACACAACCTGACACAAGATAAATATTTATTTATCAAACTAAGAATTTACTTTATAAAATAACTAATCAACATAATAAACATTTAGTTTGGAAAATAAATATTTAGCTTGCTAACAAATCTTTTAACTGAGAATCTAAATATTTAGTGAACTTTGATTCTTATAAATAGATGAATGATATACGGCAAAAAAATGACTCCCTTATTGTTCTCTTAAAACATGCTAAATAACCATAAATATTGCAATTAAGTTTTGACTGCTTAACATTACAAACTATACCCAATAACTTCATTGTTAACACAGTGAATACATGTCAGCAGAAAAGGAAGCCCAAACCATCAGCCCTCCACCACCATGCTTGACTATTGAATATACTTTGGTCTAATTTGACCAAAGTACAATAATCTATTAGATTTGTGTATATTTAGATTGAAGTGCAAACATCGACAATGTGTTTAGAGAAAAAAGACATTTCTCTTTGAATCGATCTCATTCAGCTTTTCTTATTATCTACCTTTACTTTAACAAGCTAGCTTTGGCCTATACATTCTAAGAAAGGGGCTTCTGGTTTATCCTTCTATCCACTGTAAAGTGTAAATTTTTGGGTAGATTTATTTTGAATTGCATGCAGATCGGCTGCTGTTTTCCTTGTATTATTTTTCTGCAGGTAGAAACATGTTTTTTTGTTTTTTTACTTTAAACGGTTTGGAAAAGCTTTATAACTCTCCCAATTTTATAGGCAGTAACTACAGCTCCTTTGATGCATTTAGCTTTATTTTTGATTTAGCATACATGGTTATTATAAACTGCAAACTGCCAAAGATTTGGCCCTTACAGGCATAGGTCACATTAATGATTTTCGCTGAACTGTTGGGTTATATGAATATGAAGTTGTACAGCCTTTGCTCTTAAATTTGCTGCAAAGTGTATTTTTTCTATGGATACTTTTACATTTATATTTTCTATTTTAAATCCATTTTAAGAACAATGCAAGAATAGTTCAGTATCTTTTATTTAAAAATTATGGATTTGTGTGTTACCTTTGTATAAATCCTATCCTGACAATGTGTAATGCCTTAAAGAAAACTTGATAGTGTAGCTTGTGACCCAATTATTGGTCAAATTTCCTTTACTGCTGATTACCTCATCACTTTTCAAGGAGAGAACACCAGACTTTCTGCTAAATTTCATTATCATTTTGATAAATAAAATGTATTTTGAAAATTTTAAATACAAGATTATGCAAGCAGCAAGAAATTCTCCAACAGTCCAACATACGTTAGTTATTGGTTATAAGGTGAATATGCAAAACCTTCAGTGACAAAGGCAACATTTTGGGACGTTCATTCCCCCTACATTTTTCTCAGTTCAATAAAAAATTGAAAATCACCACAACTTCTTAAGTTTGTCTATTTCTCCCACCATTCATTTGCAAAACTAGTTTTACTGTAGAGAATGACAACACTGAAAAAGCCACAAATTACAGTAAACAATAAAACCTGGATATTGATTTAAGGGTTCTTAAATGCTCATCCATCTTATATACAAGGTTAACTTATTATTCTGCAACTGTTTAATGACATTTCAGGAGAGTAGATTAAAGAAAATTAGCACCATAGGTTGTCCAACTTATTTTTCATTATTTACCTACTTTATGATTAATGGAATTACACTGCAGAAATTGAGAGGTCTCACAAACCATTAACAGCTTTACTGTCTGCAAAGCACCTGATGGGAAATAGTATTAAACAGTATTAGCATATTTCTTATTCCCTTTTTTTTTGGTTCAGTGGAAAAGTAAAAATGTAGACCTACTGCCAAAACATCCATCCGGCTTATTACGACTTTCACCAATTCTGTCCTGGACATTGGTCTAATATTGCCATGAACTTCATTTCCGGTTTATCCAGCACTAAAGGTAACAGTCTTTTCCAGACTGCCTGTGCAAAGCAAAGCCTACAGGCCCCAGCTGTTCATCCCAATTTGCTCCACTCTGATTTCCCTGCAGCTTGAGTACAGCATGTGTGAAATTATCTATTACATTCATCCATACATACATTTTACTCCGCTTATCTGGGGGCGGGTCGTGGAGCAAGCAGTCTAAGCAAATATGCCCGACCCACACATACTTCCTCCAGCTGCTCTGGGGGGACCCTGAGGCAACACCAGGCCATCTCAGAGACACAGTCCCTCCAGCGTGTCCTGGGCCTTCCACAAGGCCTTCTGGAAGGAGGGACATGCCTGGAAAAGATGGCTAAGCCACCTCAGCTGGCTCCTTTCGACATGGAGGAGCATTGACTCTACTCTGCAGATGGCGCCTCACACCGAGTCTGGTTCTGCTGGAGGTTCCATGCTCTTAAAAGGGAATTTTCTTCTCCACTGTCACTACATACAGTAAATGCTTGGTGTGACGGATGGCAGTGAGTTAATCACCAATCAGACGACGAACAAAACAGCTTTACTTGTAATTAAAGATTTAGCTTTCACAATAAAAAAATATATATATATATATTTCCGAATATTTTAATTTTATAACTTATTTTATCACTGGGTGAGTTTGATGCCCACGCACCCTCTATTGGCCAGCCACCACTGAATAAATAAATAAATAAATAAACATATATATACAGTATATATATATATATATATGTATATATATATATACATACATGTGTGTGGCCACATATCTATGACCTAGTAGGGACAATATGCCAGAAATATGACACATTTTGGGGTCAATAACTGCTCCCCATCAGGAGAAGTTTTCTTTAGGTTTAGGCTTAGGTATGTATGTGTTGTCAATAGTTAGGGTCTGCGTTAGCCAATAGAAATTAATACGATATGCATGGAAGCCAATAGAAAGTCGCCACAAGGACGTGTGTGTTTGTGTGGGTTGGGTGGTGTGGGGTTGATAGTCTGTGTCTGCAAAAGTTCAGTTAAAAGAGAGAGGTTCATCAACATTTCCTTATTTCATACTTCATGTAAGAGTAACCATTTCTCAGGCTGGACAAAGTGGAAATAGTGCTAAAAACATCAAAGTGGTGAGTTGACAGATCTATTATGCATTTTACTTCTTTAAATACTTTAATTTGTTTCAAGAGTTAAGATTTGTCAGACCCATAATCTTAATAACCTTATAAAGGTTACTGAAAATGGTGATAGGAAAGTTAGATTTAACATTTGCTGATCAATTTCAGAAAATGATACATTTTTTTCAGAAACCACTGATAAATCTGTTGGTAATTCCAGGGAGGTTAAAATCTGAGATAGTATCAAACAAACGGTGGTTTACACTGTTTTTTTTATGTATCGAGTTTCTGCTAAGTCTTTCTGATATGTCTTTTTATTTATTTTTTTAAGTCAGGCAATTTTTGTTGGGCCGATAGAGAAACCAAACAACTTATCTTAACTCTTCACAAATTTGTTTTACCTTCACATCCAGAAACACTGATTACGATCTAATAGGGGTCGTGAAGCTTAAACAACTTTCTTCTTAAGACGCCACAAGAAATGGAGTTTTCAGATTCTCTTGCTGCAGTTATTTGGATCAACATCCGTGTCTGCCTCCCGTTGACTTTTCTGCTCATGGCTTTCTGCTGCATGGTACATCAACAGTTTGCCTGTGTTTTAAAATATCACTTGATGGTATAGTCACATAAACATGTTTAGTTTATTTCTAAGCTTTTTCTGCAGGTCCGATTGGATCGTGTTCCCGTCTCCTACTTCATCAACCTTCTGCTCTCCAATCTAGTCCAGCTCATAATTCTGATCGCTCTACCTCTACTTCCGGATTATTACTGGAAACGTCTAATCTCTGTCCATATCTATGCCTGTTGTGCTCTGGCCAGCCTTTACTTCAGGATGATCATAGCTTTAGAAAGGTACCAAGAACTCATTAGCATTTGGTACTAGTGTTCTTGCAAAAATATCCTTACATACAGGGTTTGTTGATAATTTTTGCTACCTTTTCTTTCTTTGTTGCAGATGTTTTTTCATCTCCAATCCACTATCAAACTGTCTGACACAAACCAAATACATGGTGATACTCTGTGCTTTGGTATGGGTGTGTAGTTTTGGATTTCTTCTTCTTTTTAAATTTGCCAAAGGACTGCTTGTGCTAGTTATTGCCATCTTTCCAGCCCCTGTCTTTATTGTTTGTCTCTTTTGGGCCCTTAAATGGATAAATACCAACATGTCAGTGTCAGCTGAAGAAAAACATGGAGATATGGGAACTTTGCTCTTGCTGTGGGTTAATTACATGGTCTCAATCTTTCCTGTAGTTATTTATTTCATATATCTTGGTGATTTTAATCGCTATTTTTTCAAGATTGCAGATATTTTTTTGACATTTTTTCTCCTCAGTCCATGTATGGACTTGATCTTGTTTATTTTCATGTGTAAAGGTCTGATTGGTAAGCTGCTGATACTGTGCTGCTGCAAGAGTGAAGCTAATGAGGGATCAGATCTCAACAGGTCTTCAGTTTAAATACATCAGCGAGTGATTCAGACTGTGGTTCTAAAACATTAATAGGAGAAAAAGAGAAAAAACATAATAAAGAAGTAACTTTAGTGACTAATTCTAAAACAGACAAATCTGATTCATAAATATTCAATTGTGAAAACATAACATTTGTCGTTTAATGCTATATTCATATGAAACAGAATATTCACAATCAATAAAGATCTTTTTTACTTTTGCTATGCACTGTGTTGTTTAAGAAACTTGCATGTTTGAATGCTTTACTGAGAATCTTCTTGCATTTTGATCATTATCTTAGTTTCCTGTGTCTTATCTTTATCACAGACAGGAAAAAGTAGTTTATAAAATAAGAGAAATTTTGTATAAAAACCCTTACTTCATGCATTTTTTGGAAAAATGCATCATGGTCAAAAATTACAAGAAAAAAAACGTTGGTTTAAGATTTATTTATATAAAGGAAACCTTTAAACCTTTCATGGCTTTTTAGCAGATCAGTGAAAAAATATCAATGCTTGCAGGTTTTAATGGCAGACTAACTGGTGGGGAGCATGAGTTCACTGATCAGGCATCAGGTGAGCAAGACAAACTTTATAACTTGTTGAAACTTAATGGAAGAAAATAGATACAAAAATATGATCTAATTAAAGGGGTTAATATTACAAATGGAGCAGAAATGAAATGCTTCAGGAACCGAATACAAAAATAAATAAAAAATTAAACCTAAAAGGATCAGCTGATGTCACTCACATTGGAAAACATAAATAATAATAATGGAAGCAGTTTCAAAACAGAAACAAAACTCAGTCCTTTTCAGCTTTTAGTCTGTAAACAGGACAGCAGCCCAAATGATACAATTGGGAAGAGGGGCACAGGTGCAGTTGGTCAAAGGGATTTTGTGGGAAAAGATCATTTAGTGATTTAAATCAAGGTTATTGATATGAAGTCCAAAAAATGAGAGGAAAAGAGTGCAATGAAGACAAAATTCAAGAAAGACCCTCCTTCCCTTGTATGACTCCTAAGAACTCTTTGCTTTTGCTTAAGATGCCAAAAGTTCAGGGCATCTGGGCTCAATACACATTTTTTTTGGTGAAAGTTTAAATATGTCAAGATGCAAACCTTCTCAAAATGCTTCCTGCTGTATTTTGATCATATCTGAACTTCTGCCAATAACTCAGCACAGTGAGGCTCTGAAGTTAGTGAAGAAAACCACTTCTAAAAAAAGAAAAACAAATCTTGTGGTCAAACATACAGCTGTGAAAATGTAAGTAGGGATATTATTTGACTGCAGGTGTTGTCAGAGAATTGAGTTTTTAAACACTTCTAGAATACTCTCATAATAACCCCAACATCACATCACTATTGCAAAGCTGCTGATTTTAGCTGCTAGATTGCTGAGCAGAAAAACATCCTCAGCAGCAGAGTGGTGAGTAAAATATTAATTATTATCAGAAATAAATATTTAAATGCATCTTTTATGTTCAGGTTTGATCAAAATGATACAAAGGATAGTACTGTTTCATTTCATTTACTTTTGAAACATTTAAATTATGATTTTACCACAAATAATTCTATTAAAATATTTATGGGTCATTCCAAGGGTCTTTTGTGTCATAATGGGCTACATTTTGTTTTGACATGGATTAATACAAATTTTATTTATCTCATCATATAAGCTTGAATATGTTCTAATATAAACGTGAACATATTTACATAAATAATTGTATTATAAAATAAAAAATGTGCCTAATTGAAACTTGGTTTAATTGCCTTGTCCCATTTTATAAATAGCTCAGTTTGTAGTAGTTTTCATCTAATGTTTTCTTTACATTTCCAAATGTTTATTACTTTGAAATTATTAAAACTTAACTTAAGATTGACTCCCATGAGTTAACTGTCCATCCTGTTACCCTGATACCCAGCTTCCCCTTCCCTCCAAACCACCTCCATCCTCACATCTACAGGAAAAACCTTGTTTTTTTTTTGGGAGGGAAAACATTTAAAAGACACAGGATGAAATTTCTTTCCCTGTTTTATAACGGTTCATTAATGTGTTCATTAATGACATAACATCTCCGCCTTGTTACCCTTATTTGCATTGAAAATAGATTTTTTTCTTTTCATTTTTAGTTTTAAAGTTACTACATGCAAATACTAGTAAACTCCTCAGTGGTCATCAAGCACTAGCTTGTTTTTAATGACAGGATAAGTCATTTCTGATTTTAGTGGTAATTTTTCCTCCTCTTACGTCCACTGTGTTACAGTTTTTTGTGAATACAGGATGGACTGAAAACGTTCAGAGAAGTTTGGATTTCTACCATAGATTCTTATTTAAGATGAGTTTATGATAATAAATATTAATCCTGTGGTCAGGGAATGCTGTGTCTCCTGGAGAAAACAAAGATGCTACAGGTCTCATCGTGATGCAGACCCTTAAATAAAGATAGAATACGTATGAGAATTTGATCAAATGCAGGACAGTGTGACATCCTCAGCACGAACAATAAAATATAAAAGATAAATAAAAGATAAATAACAGATAAAAAATAAAATAATATTAGAAAAAATAAAATTCACATGGTGTTACTGTGGTCAATTGAAAATAAATAGTGGGAATGTTAACAGAAGAAAGAAAAGTTAAAATCTGTATTTCTAAAGCAGTTTTTAGTTTTTATTAATTTTTCTTAAGAACATTATTGATATTTGATGATGATTTTCTTTCCCCAACAGGATCAAGTAAAAAAATTGAATGGTCTATTTTCAGGACATATTATTATTCATATTATTATTATTTTGTTATATTATAATAATATTATAAGAATAAGAATGTATTATTATTGTTATTATTATTGTTATTATTATTCAAATCTTAAAATTTATTGATAATTTTCAAAGAGAAGGTTAAAACGGCAATCAAATGTACAACTTTTTTGGTAACAACTTTTTTTTCTTTAGAGTAAATCAGAACAATGTACCAAGATTTTCTTAACGTGATGATTTGGATGGACATCCGTGCCTGTTTTCCCTTCACTTTACTGGCCATCGGTTTGTGTTTTATGGTGAGTCATTTAGAAAATAAACGTGATATTTAATTGTTATTCAAACTATACGTATATCGAATTTATATCAAAAACTTTTAAAGAACTTAAAGGCAGACTGTGTAATTTTTGGTCACTAGCGGCGCTAGACCTGTCACTGCCCATATTTTGCTTCTACTAAACATCCAAAATAATACCAAAGATATATGACTATACTAGGAGCAGAGTGTGAACTTACCAGTCTAATTGTAAAGTTAAGAAAAGGCCATTGGTTTTACATCTGGCTTCTTCTTTTAGCGAACAAATAAACTCCTTTCCAATATCGACTCTTGTTTTTCCTCACATATGATGAAAGTTTTTTCTATGCCTTAGCCATGACCAGCAGGACGAAAAAAAAGCAGAGCAAAAGCCTTAGCTTCATGACTATATAAGGTGGTATTTCAATAGGGGAGCCCATCTTGTATTATTGATAGTGTCAAGCGCTGTATATTGGCCTGAGGAATCATTTAAAATAACTCCTTAGTCACAAACTCTGTAGGTCAAAAAGTCCACATTCTGCCTTCGATAAAATAAGTTTTAAGTTCTATATTCCAACATCTAGAAACATCGAAAAGAAGTGCATTTTAATTGACTAAATTATAGAGTATTTAGTTGCATTTACTTTAGTACTTGACTTAAAAGTTTTAATAGTAGTTAGTTATTTCACTGTATGTTTTACTTGAAGAATATTTTTCTGAAGTATTGCAATTATTTCTTAGTTTTATGTAAACTATATCAATAACAAATAACATCACAAAACAATACGTAGAATATTATCTTGGGTATCAAAGAATTCTGTTGGGATCTGGAGTTGTTCCAACTTTCCCCAGCAGAGTGCGCCGTGGGTTCTCTGGGCTGGAGCTCACCAGCACACCTGGAGCTCGTCAGCCCATTAGAGGACCCCTCTACTTAAGCAGATGCCAGACCTTTCTTCGACGCTGCAGTGTTAGCTAAGTTTGGTTAGCGAACCTGAGCCTCTTTGTCTTTTGATTTTGTCCCCTAGAGAAAACTGAATTCTAACCAGCCTTTGTCTTGTCACTCCGAGGAAAACCTGTCTCTCGTGTGAGGCTCTGGGAGAGCTTAACCTGAATCTGCCTGCCTGCCCTAGAGAGCCAAACCTGAAGATCTCACTTTGGAATCCACCTGCTGCTCTTGGAAGGAGAGGTAACCCCTCAATCCAAGGTCTGATCCAACAGTCAGAAGTTAGACGCTGCACCTGCTCAGCACTCTGTCAAACCAACAGTCTCTGGACCCAACCGGTTCCCCCCCTCTGAGAAGAAAGCCAGAAACTCTCCAAGGTATAGTCTGCAAACATATGAAAACTAAACAATGTTTCCAATCCTCCTGGTTAACCAAACTGTCACCTCTGCAGACGCCTGAGAATCCAGCCTGGACCTGTTTCCTGAACGCAGTCTTATTTTGTGCGAACATTTAATAAACTTTTTTAAACTTTTCATCTGTCTCCTGGTAGTGTTCTGCATGTGGGTTTGATTCAGAACCAATCATGACAGAACACTGCGGCCAAACACAAAGCCCAGCAGATCACCTCCGGAGGAGGCTTGAGGAGCAGGACGCTCAAATCCTTGGACATGCCCTCACCATCCGTGAGTTACACAACAAACTTGAATATCAGAACCAAGTCTTGCAG